ATAGAGATTGTTTTACCTTGTTTTCGCAACTTGGTCATATTGGTAGGAAGACAGAGTAACGCACCTAGTCTGGAGTCCATAGTGTGCATGATAATTTACAAAGTTGGACCGTGGATGTGGTACATTTCCAGACGTTTAGACGGCATCGTAGTCAGTATTGTCAGTGTCCCTTGCCAGTCTTAGCAATATACTACGACTAGTCAGATAGACCAGTGGAGCCGATCCTTTGACAAATCGTCTGCTAAACAATCCTCGTATATACCCTCGCTATCACAATTTTTTACTTGCTTATTTGAATGTGGTATGGTGTGCCCTTTTAAGCGGATTTCATGAAAACTCTCCACATCCACGCTGGCTTTCTCAACTTCCTTCACCTTTTTGCTGGGAATTTTTATCAGGGTTTGCCCTATTGTTTCGCAATCTTCCTTCCAAAGGTCTTATCATAGTCTTTCTCTTGTCCCGTAGGATCCGTCTGTTATCTGCTTGCTTCACGTATTTCACTCAAAAAGAGAAGAGGTGTTTTATCATAGACGTTGTCCCTTAATCACGTATATAAACCAACTAGCTCTAGTCTCCACTGCATATATCCTGTTTCTATTCTTAATAACAAGTCTATGAATCTAATAAAATAAGTAGAACCACAACCTTCGTGTGTTGCCACACAAGAGACTTGATCATAAGAAGTCATATATTTGGCTTTGGATAGAAGCACGAAAGATGCGGCGGAACCTAGAGCTAGTTGGCTAACAATAGTGTTTAATCATAGACATGGTCCATAATACAAAGGCTTGATCATGCGAACTACTCTGGGTATTTAGCCTCAAGTTAGTCTCCCAGAGGCAGAGCGTGGGAAATAACGCCTCGAGTAGCACAAATAGGGTGGCAGAGATCGAGTGAAATACTTGAACCAAGCAGATACCAGACGGATCCTACGGGGCAAGAGGGAGACTGATAAGACCTATGGAAGGAGGATTGCATAGCAATAGGGCAGACTGATCAAAATATTCAGCACAAGGCTGGAGTGATTTAAGAAAGCCAGAGTGGGGTGTGGAAAGTTCTAATGAACTCCGCTTAAAAGGACACACCATATCACATTCAAATAAGCAAGTAAAAATTTTTGATAGCGAAGAGGTGATACGAGGATATAGGATTGGTAATTAGCCCAGGGCGACAGAAGAGATACCACAATTGTTTAGCAGGAAATTTGTCAAAGGATCGGCTTCATTTGTCTTACTGAATAGTTTTAGTGTAGTACTAAGAATGGCAAGGCGCATTGACGATGCTGACTACGATGCCCGCGGAAAGTCTGGGAATGTACCACGTCCACGGTCCGAGTCTATTAATTATCTTTCATACTATGGACTCTGGATTAAGTACTTTCCACTAGGTCTTCCTACCAATATAACCAAGTTCAAACAACTGCTATACAACGAAAGGCGACCGTGACGATACAAAGGGCCACATATTCTTGGTCTTCATACCTTGTGTTAATCTTTCTTTACAATGATCTTGACGTTCTATTTCCTCAGTTATTTGTATTATTTATATAGCATGAAAACTGTTGTAGCAAAAACCTGGACCAAGAGTTTCATCCTTCCTTGCTTTTGCCCGAACTAGGTTTTTTCCACATCCTATTGCCTAAAATTGTGAAACCATGGACAAAATTAGTCCCAACGAATGATTATTCTGAGCTTGAATTTCTCTTAGTCTTTCTAGCTCTTGATCCTGGGCATTTTTATCTTCTCACATCAATCCTGCATTCTGATCCCACTTTTAATCATATCCATGAAATTAGTTTGAGTATAATGTCAAATCTGGTCTAATTATGGCCTAATTTTGTTTTCTACATCCACATATATGGCTCCATTTACTGAGATGTGATTCCCCTATAATTGTCACACTCCTTATGTGTTTGGATAATCTCCGCACCCTCCTGCTCTCCCACTAAGTTCTTAATTTGTCGTTATCGTTTTTAAGGGGACCATACGTTTGCCAATTCTGGCTTCGTCCATTGTCTTGATGAGTAATTATATCTGACCTCGTCGCTCTCGAGCCCTAAGCTTCGTGATAACGACCTCTTATATTTCCCTACATGGCTCTTCTGCAACTATATTATTTGGTGGGTTAAGTGCCCAACAGGCCCTGAGAGTTGTGTTCCCTTAATTTCGGTCCTTGCATCTATTCCAGATTGTCTCATATATCCAAGGCTATGGCGAACCTATTTTCAATTTTTAAATTGAAATGCCAGCCTTTAATTATTTTTATACAGAAAACCTGGGTTTCTAGAACTCTCTTAATAAGTTAGCGTTACTCTAATTTTCATTTCAAGTCAAAATTTGGATGGATAGGATTTGCCAAATGGTTTCACCGTAAACTTAATGATGAGTGCCTTGGAATAAAGAAGGCTTGTTTTTTCATCGGCTCACCGATCAATCTGTGCTGAACTATCACTTGTTATGTGACACACATCTTCATAGAAAGAAACGATACCGAGGAAATATTGAATTTTGCTAGAATAGACCGATTTAAAGCTGACTCTACGTTACTCAACCGACTTTAATGTCGTGCGAAATTGCGTAATAGGTGATATCGGCTTCCCTTTGCGCTTGCTAGTATCAGTCGTAAACGTTTTCTTATGAGATGAATCTACCAATCTTTTTGTCTTACTCTTTCATATAAAGTGAAAATCAGTTCGACACAGACATATCAGGAGATTTCAAACCCCTTAATCTATTCACTATGTTCAATGTTAACACATTTTCCTCTAGTAACCTCAGTCACCTCATAGCATCAGGTAACAAATGTGTTGTTTGGGCATGGAACGAGCGTGTCCCCAAAATTCTTTGAAATTAGCTCCTAAGTCAAAGATAAAAAAGAGATTGAAAGGAAATTTATTTAAAGAGTCTTCATCTACAACAAGTAGACATAAAAACAGGGTTCAATTTGATTGACGGGCTATATTCTTTGGATGTTTTGGATGCTTTCTCTTTGATCCTGTGCAGGTATCCTATGGACAAGAGGTCACTCCGAACTCATCTTAAGAGTATTCCAGATACACAAAAAGTACCTTGGGAGAAGATCAAGTGGTCACCATTGCCACCGGCTTGGGAGATTATCACTGCCTGGTTGGCCAAGACGGCTAATCCGTAGCGAGCTTTGGTAGTTAACTTTAAGCACTTGTCTGGTGAGACTGAAGAAAGTAAACGTATGACATTCTAAATTACTATGGGCTTTGACGATCCAATTCATGCGCTCAAGGACTATATTTGATATTGCCATACCCATGACTTTAAACGATATATTTAGTCGCGCTGTCTGGCTAAAGAAAAGTACCTTGATACGTCTGAAAGTTTAGCGATAACCCCTATCCATCCTTATTTTTTCTTACAACATTTCCCTCATAAATGTTAACCTTTTTATTGCCCTAGCTTTAAGAAAAATAGATGTAAAACCTAGCAAATGTGCTAAGCGCCTAGAACCTCTTAGAAATGGTCCCGATTGCACTGGTCTCTAGAATTGCCAATTGTTAATTCGTACAATTTACAAGTTATTTCGAGGGGAACTCTATCTTCTCCGAGCAATATCCTCAATCAGCCCTTAATACTCATTTAGCTGAGGCTCTCACTCATCTAAATGAGCTAGGGGTGTTCTATTTTTGTATGGAATTATAGGGTTTTTTGATTTTATCGGTGAATCGTCTATTAATACTAATTCTCACTTAGTGTGGAATTAGTGTTGACAAGGCAAACTTCTACATGAGATGTATTTACCCTATCTCGTTAAGGTGATGAAGGATTGGCACTTCAAGTTTCAGCAATGATATGAATAGACTTTACGTTCCCATTGAACTTTACATAGCCTTTCTTCTCAGAAGGTATTTCCTCATCCAGGATGGAAGTGTAACGTCTATTCATATCAGTGTGGGAAAATTCAACTACCAGTCCTTCATCAATTTAGCGAAATCATTTTAATACATCTATAAAGCCTACTTATAAACGAAAAATGAGGCAAACCTTTGCTTATAATACCAGCCTACGACATTAGTTTATCCTGATTTAATCGGTTTATAAACAATTAGTTACTTCTTATTTGGAATCCTTGTCACTTTCAGTCATTCCTTATTCAAGAGTTATTGATAATTTAGAAACATTTTAAAATAGCAATAAAATTGCATAAATGCAGTTTTAAATATGCAGATTAAGATGGTATGACCTCAATTTTGGTCATAGTCTCTTTACATTACAAAGAAGCGATTTGATCCAGTTTTTTAACATCCATATTTAATGAATGTTTGTGATGAAGAAATTCGAAGGCCGATTCCAACATACGACATCATCAGGTTTCTCTTGATTAGCTCTCGACTGGCGTTACTTAATCACTTTAGTTTTCATTGTTTCTGAGGAAATTTCCATCGTATCCTGTGAAGCGTACTACTCGGGAACAACGTTAACAATAATGTTCCAGTAACGCTAACGGTCAGCTTCGCTATCGTATTCCAGTTCATCTTCTTATCACATACTTTCACTCGGAATGGAAATGAGTTCAACAAGTATAAATCAAGAGACTCTTTGAAAGCTGACTTTTCTTCGCATTTCCTCGCTTCCGCAGTTCTCTTTTGTCGTCAGAGTGACCTTGATAAATGCACCTTGCCCAGAGTTCTTTCTCATACGACTTCCAATTTCGGACTGGAGATTTGATACATTGTCGGACGTTTCCCGGCATCGTAATCTGCACAACATCTAAACTGTGCGAAAATACATCATGGAACCACATGTTCCCATGTTTCCATCCTGTTTGATCATTGAAACTGCCATAAGGGTCCTTTGTTTTTATCTTCAGATTTAGTAAACTTCTAAGCTTCGTGGTGATCTTGAATAAGAGTTGTGCTTACCCATGGCGATAATTGGCCTTTTCTCACGATGGTATAAATCGGCTTTAGGGTGGTGGTATACTTTGCTAAGCCCTGCCTCCTCAAAAATCTTCTCATCAGAGCCCCCGACGTTAGCATGTCGACGGTAAAAAAGCGATGCACCACCCGAGTATGATTCCTATTTGAGGCATAGCTGAAACCCAGGCAAGTATGCAGCTGCAATTCGGTATAGTCTGAATGAGCATATTTATTTGGAAGGCATTGTTAAGCGGATTTCACTGGCATCATGTCATTATGGGAAAAGCCCAACGATACGATTTAGGATGAATACAATTCTTGATCCTTCTGTTGCAAAGACTTCGCAAACACACTGTCGTTCTGGTGTCTACGTCGACTTCAGCGCCCTCTCGCCTTGGACACTAACAAAGACTTGTAAATGGTCACACCTGCTTGCACATCAGTGTCTGAGCCCCTCTTCAACCCACGCACCCACCGCTTGTTGTTTCTTACTCTCTATTCCCTTAAATTCACCCCGTTGTTGAAGATCTCAGATGGTTACATCTCTATCAAACTAATATGCATCATCATCTCGATTGCCACGACTGCAAAAAACTGCTAAACATCTTTTCACCTTCCATTTTGTTGACAAACTGCCAATCAACTCACCCTTCAACTGTCTCCCTCGTCTTTTTTTCACATCCCTGCAAGTCGCCTCTCCTCACTATTTATATCCAGTCTCGATTGGGGCCATTCACTAGCGTGGGCCTAATCTCTCTGTCTCATTTTTTCGTAAAATAAAATGTAACTTTTTAGGCCAACTTACCTCTTATCCCCACTCTGGCTTGTCTTCTTCTCCACACACTTTAGTAGCCTTCACCTGTGCCTGTGTTCATGTATGCATGTATGCTCGAGACAGCATGCTCAGCATTTAACTTATACTGTTTCATCTCGTCCCTTCTTGCAGTGAGCCTGTCGCGGCTGAGTTCGGCCGCCGGTTGATGGGGCCTCTTGATTGACATGCCCGTCTCCGCTCCGGACTTTGTCCACTTCAGCTTTACTGGATCTTATCCTGTCCTGTCCAGTCCGTGTGTGTTCATTCCTTTTATCTACTTGAAGCGATCGATCGTTGAAAATTAAACATTTCTCATCATAAAAGGCCTTAGCTTAGGTGTGTCATGAGAAAACTTGTCTGATTCATAGTGGGCATGCCCACACTTCTACACGCCTAATCCGTGATTATCGATTTTACCCATGGACCTTTTGTTAAGGCCTCATGATTTAGGTGCATTTAAATTTATGGCTCCTTATCGATCCATAACCTGTCTGATGCTCCAGTCAATCTGCCCACGTACATACGCAGGACACTTCTGTTTCTCTTGCCGCTGTGCCACTCATTTTTAAAGTCGACTTTTGTTTAAATAAGCCGCAAATTTATGTGGCCAAACCAAATTGACTATTTAAAAGCGACAATGTATTGGTGGTTCGGACAATGAGGGTCGGTCCGCACACTACGAGACGAAAAGAGGTCCCGAATTTGTTGCAGACCTTCGTTGCACCGTACCATCATGTAAGCCTCAGTTCTTACCTGAGCTTCACGAATTATGCAGTTTCACCTCTGTTTTACACTCACATTTATTGAGAGTCGTCGCAACGGTGTGAAGGCTCATGAGCGGCACTGCCACTGGCGCTGTAGAGAGGTGAGATTGACAACTGTTAAGACAAGCCTTTGGTCGTTAGGTCAATTGTCAATGCTGGGTTAATCAATTAGGAATCCCTTTTAGCCTGTGCCGGGTGAACTACTCGAAAATTCCTAATGCTTTTATGAAACTAAATTGCCAAACTGTCACCAAGGCAACGATGTCCGTTATATGATAGACGAAAAATGAGCATGTTTTCTCTTGAATCGAAGGCTATTACCTCCAAACAGGGGATAACATCCAGAACTCCTTTTGGAAAGCAAGGCTAAGCAGAATTTAATGGCATCATAAGGCCTATTTGTGTGGTTGTAATAGAAGTCATCTATCGGTCCTTCAGCAACTGATGCGACTACAGCTACTGACAGTCTCGAAATCTAGTATTTGTGAATAAATGTTGAGTTGGGCTCACTTCCATTTCGAATAAAAATGTGTCGAAGACCGTTCTCATCAGAAAATGATGACGCATCTCTGCTGACCAGTTGTCGATCGACTTTACTTTAACATTCCTGTTGATGCTCAGGAAAAAACATGCTCAGCTTTCGTCTATCATATGACGGATATTGTTGCCTTGGTGACAGCTTGTTAACTTGTTTTGCATAATAAAATCATACATTTTCGAGTAGTCCACCCGACATAAGGATGATGCGCAGGCTAATCTATCAGGGATTCCCGTTTGAGGGACACCATCCGTCGATTGGTGGACTCAGCATTGGCAGTTGACTTGACGACCAAAGGCTTGTCTTAACAATGGGACTTTGAACTCTCATCTTTAAACAGCGCCAGTAGCAAAGTGCCGCCCATGAGCCTTCACATCTTTGCTTCGACTCTCGGCAAATGTGAGTGTAGAAAAGAGTCGAGGCCTACATTCAGTCATTAATCACATGCAACCCAGGATTACTCCAACTTTGGCTCTGACAATGTCCGTCACATGACGGATGAAAGCTCGGCATGGATGGCTCTGGGTCACAGGAAGTTTAGCTGTGATCTTCCTTCAATCTAACACTCACAAGTCCAAGTCCTTTAGTATCCAATGGGGCCGATTTATGAATCCCTCTAACCCGTCTTTACAAACGAAATGAAATGTACGTCAGCATCACCACTCCAACGTCTTTAATGCTCTTGTATCTGACCTCATTGACCCATTGAAACGAATGAGTTTATTAAAACGAATTTATTTGGGATAATCCCTTGCAACGATAGTAATGCCTCTTGGTCGGATGGTGTTGCTCAGGTGGAAGTTGTGGCTGATAGTGAAGTGGTTTGGGAGATGAAGTGTATGTGAAAAACCCGTTCAAGTGGCTGTAATGCACTTTGGTGTCATTTGTACTTATAATAATAGTGGTTATTATTTCTGTAAGCATGTTAAAGCCTGATTATTAGTGTGCCGCTCGTAAGAATGGAGAAATTTTCGTCTCTTTTCTCAGATTGGCTACATGGAGTTAAAGTTACAGTTGCTTCTTCTAGTATATGCGAACATGGTTGTGTTTGCATATGGCGAGATATGTAAACTGCCTTTCTTTTCTTCTAATCTGTCATGCCCCACGGTTTCTTTCAGGCTGATGTCACTCGTCAACACTGGGCCGACTGAGTCATTTACTGTAATGATGCATGCGCTCCTGTGAGCGTCAGCGTTCGTTTTACACTTGCCCGGAGCCTGTTAACTAACTCCTGTTTCACTCACTTCATTCGCCCTACAGCTGCCCTATTTCCGACGATTTGTCCGGATATCTGGCTTGTCTGTGTCTGAGACACGGAACTGAGGCGCTTTGTTTGACGTGTATGATGACCTCCTTGTAACTAGGCCACGGGGCTGCACAGGCGGACACCTATGCCGTGGGAAGTGAATCACACTCACCATGCTCCACCTCATCGTTCTCTGATACAATTCTCCCTTGCTGCACCGCGCCCTGAAATTTGCTAGTTCAGCCTCTGTGGCTTGTTCGCCGGGAAACCTATTTTCGAATAATTCCCAAATGTTTCGGATGTCGATCACAAGGTTTCTGTGGGTAGGCTTCACTGGGATACAAGACTGGATTGCCAGAGTGTTGACATATGTATGAAGCAAGATTGCCTTTCATGCCTCACATGACTTGAACATGGCATGCATACAATAGATAATATCACACCCATTGCTGTTTGAGTACCTTTTATTTCGTTTGAAGAGGCTAGTGGAAGGGATTTGTAAGTTAGCCTCATCGGAAGCTATAAGGGGATTGCCTTGGAGCTGTGATTGTAAATTAGTGCGAATAGATCCTCAGTGCACCGCCCTGCGACCTCGATGAATCCTTGCTGAGCTTTCGTCCGTCATGTGACGGACCTCGTCAAAGCAATATATTAAGGGAATCTTCGAAACCCAATTTTTCTAAATAAATATCACACTCAAACCTGCGTGAAAATCACGCGATCAAACGCCGGATTGTTTAGGCAGTCCCCTGTGACCGCATCCACACCCAAATCACGGAATGCCTCATCAAGATAGT